TCAGAAGTTTATTATAAATTATGGATTTTATTAGTATATTCTTATTTTTTATTTAAAAAATATGTATTCTTTATGTAAATGCAACTTTGTGTATCTGTTTTTTATCGTAATGTATCTTTTAAAGCAATTTTTATGATTTAAACAAAGACTTACAAAAATAATTGCGTTTTCAACGAAGTTATAATTGTTATAGTTAATAAAACTAATTATGTAACAAACATAAGAAGTTTCTGGTTATTAAACACAAACAACGCATACAAAGTAACTCACGGATGAACAAGCACCGCGCCTGAGGTCACGACAGAACACAAATATAGATAGCAAATAATTAGATATAAAGAAAAGTTTCTATATATTGGTTTACTAACTCTAATTATTTTTGCTTAAGTTGCCATTCTTGAAACTCGTTATACTTTTTTCTGCTTTAAATACTAATTAAAATTAAAAAGCCCACTCACTAAACATCATCAGCGATATTGTGAAGCAGTTTCGCTTCCTCGTCATAAAGTATTTTTAACCTTTTTAGTTGATTTCTATTTTGTTAATTTAATTTCTATAGTAATTCAATGATTTAATTATTTCATTTGTTTATCTTACTAAGAAGAACTGCTTCAAATATGTTAAACTTTTTAAAGTACGCGAAACAAATTAGGTATTGAAAAAATTAACTTTTTTATTTATAAAATAATTTAGCTTAAATAAAACTAAAACTTGCAAACTTTGCTAAATAAAGAGCATTTGTTTCCTTTTTAAACAATCGTAAGTTGTTACTTTATACAAAAAAAATCGCTTAATTTTATAAAAAAAATTATAAAAGAGCGATGTTTGGAAAATATTTTTTCTAAACGTAGTTTATTTAGCTTCAAGTTTTTTCGCGTTTAAAGATATTTTATTTGCCTAATTTTTTTTTTTTTGTAATTGTCTCTCATTGGTCCAATTAATCTTTTGCACTTTTTTTTTGCTTTTAAAAATGTTCTCAAAACGACTAAAAAATCTGGCCAGCTTTTCCCAACTAAATATTATTTACGTGGTCAGCAATCAAGAGCGATCGCTTCTGCTTCCCGACCAAGCCTGATTAATAATAAGTAAGATATTAGTATAACTGATAAAAGCATTTCTGCAATACCTTCAAATTACCTTTATTATGCTCAAAGCAAATTTAAGTTAAGTAAAATATAACTGCAGTGCCATGTTATAGGGGATTGCAGTGTCTTTTTCATTTGAATATCAATTTTTTTGTTTTAAAGACATTAAACAAAGAATTACTATGTGTCTCTATAATGTCCGTATTTTATGTCTCCATAAAACAAAGCAACTTAAATTTTTTGTAAAAAATCTTGACATTTAAATGAAGAAGGCATTGCAATTTTTTAGCATTTTTAATATTTTACTAATATTAAAAATACTAAAAAATATTTAGTATCATTGATATAAGGAGCAAAAATTGTTTGATATTTTGATAAAATTCTTTCTAACTTTTGTAAAATTTGGTAATTTTAACAGTTGTATCTAAGAATAAAACAATGACTTTAAAGTTAAATAAAGATTTAATGAATAAAAAATTAAATTTATTTGTTTTAAATAAGATATAATTAAAAAAAAAAAAATAAAATGCTGAACAAAATATTATATGCAAAAATATTATATAACACCTGTACCATAAGATTTGAGATTGGCTTTAAATTTAAATTAATAAAAACTTTGAAAAACATGATAAAAACTATCTTTATATTGATACCTAAAACAACTACTGAGGTGCTATAGAACCTGCGATGTTACATATGTAATAGATATGTAACGTTGGTGTATCAGAAGTGTAACATAAGTTTCAAATTTACTTTATTGGAATTAAATTAATATATAGCAAAATGCGTATATAAAAAAAGATGTTACGGAGGTTTAACTCCTGCTTCCATAGGCTAGATCAGTTTTGATTAATTTTCTCAAATTCCAATCATTCAAAATGGAAGTTATAACAAAGATCAAATGTGAATACACAGCACATTCTATATAAACATAAGAGTTTTAATTCAAGATGATTTTGTTTTGATATTAACAAGTTAAACTAAAACATTTACTAAAAATTGTTTATAATCTGTGAATTAAAAGTTTTAATTTAAATCTCCAACTCCAATAAACCTCTGCTACAAATCCAACCTTCAGTTACATCTCTACACATCTCTATTACAATAAACCTCTGTTACAAATCCAACCTTCAGTTACATCTCTACACATCTCTATTACAATAAACCTCTGTTACAAATCCAACCTTCAGTTACATCTCTACACATCTCTATTACAATAAACCTCTGTTACAAATCCAACCTTTAGTTACATCTCTACACATCTCTATTACAATAAACCTCTGTTACAAATCCAACTTTCAGTTACATCTCTACACATCTCTATTACAATTAACCTCTGTTACAAATCCAACCTTCAGTTACATCTCTACACATCTCTATTACAATAAACCTCTGTTACAAATCCAACCTTCAGTTACATCTCTACACATCTCTATTACAATAAACCTCTGTTACAAATCCAACCTTCAGTTACATCTCTACACATCTCTATTACAATAAACCTCTGTTACAAATCCAACCTTCAGTTACATCTCTACACATCTCTATTACACATCCAATATTATAAATAAAAATCCAATATTATAAAATAAAAAAATTATAACTATTATTGCAAAATTGTCATTATATTCTGCTATAATACTATTGTATGCCATTAAAGTACTTAAGTTATAATACTATATATGAAACTTTTGCTTGATTAAATATATAATAGAAGAGGAAAATTATTTTGTTCAACTCTTTTTTTTCTCCAAAGAAAAAATATTTAAATATTATATAGCAAACATGAACTTGAAATCTATTTTCACAACCGTATTATAAAACAATCAAAATTATAACAGTATATTATAAACCACTAAATCATATTTACATCTAAGGTAAAACTTGTTTTTTACTAAATCGTTAAAATCAAATTAATATGTGAAACCCATAGACTCAAATTAATATTATCAAATTGATATGTAAATACATAAAATTAACATGTGAAACCCATACCTTAACATAGGTATCCCATTATTGAACAAACTATATATAGCCACTTTAATTAATGTTATTGTATATATTTCTATTACAATATCTGCTACAAACTAATGTATATCATATGTTAATTTGCTATTTTTTTTTTTTTAATTTACACATGTTTTTTGGGGTTAGCAATTTTGAGACGATTTGTTATAGGGTAAAGGGGAATTTAGTTCTGTGATGCAAAACTTTTTTTTTTAAGTTTCAAATCTAGACAATCTTATCTATTGATTAAAAAGGTGCTTATCCTAAAACATAAAACCCAAATTGCTGAGTTTTTAAAATCGCATAAATTTTATTGAAATTGACTTTTTTTTAATTTAAATTTTAATTGATTATGTAGACTCCAGTACATCTATGGCTTTATGAGTCAATTATATAGCATCTACGGCTTTATGAGTCAATTATATCAATGAAAAAATAATTAATATAAATATAATTATTAAACAAATATAAAAATAATAATTAAACAACAATAATAGTTAATTTGTGTTAGAATTAAATATTACAATCTTTATATAACCAACACCGTGACACTAACTTATTGGTAAAGAAGTTATTTAAATTATATATTTATCAAAGGTTATTTGTCCATTTAGGCACTGTTAATTTATACAATTTTATATCAAACTAAAGGAGTGCAAAAAAGAATATATCTACACTCCACTTTCCTTATACTTATTTATTACACCCATATAAGTCCATTTAAGTACATAATGATTATTATATTCAGTGTAACTTATTGTGATATATATTACAATATACTTAAAGCAGCTAAGAAAATTTAAATATTATCGTATTTAAAACCACAAAAAAAATTATGGGAGGGGTTGCATAATTTGGGGGGGGGGGATTAAAACTTCACAAATTTTTACTAGAAGGGTGGGGTAAACATTCCAAATTAGTCAAAAACTGCATGCCATAATTTATGGACGACCCATATATTTGATCAAAACAAAAATATAAAATAATGCAATAATCTTAAAAAAATTATTAGGTTTAAACAAAATGCTAAATAGCTGATGTTTCTGCAACTTGCATTAAAGCTTCAAATTTCAAATGGCAGCTGTTTCATGTCCAAAGTACTTCTGTAAATTTATCTTTGTAACATTTCAGCACTCTTACACAAATGATTTTTTAAATAGAAAGCTGAAAAATTTTAATCGAATGCTGTTTAGTGTTGTTACAAGGATATATTTACAGAAGCATTTTAGACATAAAATAAATCATTATATAAACATTAAACACAACAACTCATAAAACTTGCCACACCCTTCTTATAAGAAGGCCTATGTTCCTAGACTTTAACTGCAATTAAATAAGTATTAGAAAAATCAAGTTAACTTTCAATAGAAAAATTTTTAAGTTTGTTTTATCATTTAAAGATTGAATTATTTTCCTAAAAAGGGTTTGAATAAAAAGTAGTAAAATAAATAACTCCTTATTTTAACTAAATAGGATTGGAATATTAATAGAAAGCGTGAACTGTTGGAATTATTAACATACTATTATAAAATATTATAGTTTTAAAAAACTAACTTTCATGAAAAGAAAAATAGAAAATCTTATGACCTTACAACTTCCAATTTTATCTTTGGAAGAAGTACGATTAGCTAAAACCTCAGAAAAATATGAGTTTAAAAAATTGTTTTAAAAAATTGTAAGACATATTTCAGAATAGCGAGCTTAGATTTTTGATTGTATTTTTTTTCAAAAATATACTTAATTTTTTTTTTTTATAGTGTTTCATATACATAGCAGATCACAAACATGGTATTTATAGGCGCACATAAACGTACACGTATATAGAGAGTTAAATACATATCGTATTGCATAATTTATTTATACTATCATTAAATAGAGTTTTAAACAATAAAATAAAATAATCTTTACCCAAGCTGAGATGCTCTATATATATCTAATTCTTGAACTTTTATGGTAGGTTGCTGAAGTATTATTTTATTATTTGAGTCTTTTCGGTCATTTTCAGAGGACGCCATCTTTAATAATTTTTACAAAATAACAGCTCCGGTAATCATTTTTGTTTACATTTTTCTTATCGAGGTTTTCAAATCTTTCTTTTTTTAATGTTACTTAAAAACTGATACGTGAAAGTTTTTAAGATATTTGACTTTAATACGAGGCGCACCATGCGAAAAGGTAATAAGTCTTAAAAACAAAGTTATAGTTTTTACCAGATGTGAATAGAGAAAAAAAATACCTACAAAATTAAAATCTTCATGAATGTCGGATTGATAGAGTTTTTAGCAAACTTTTAAATGAATCATTTTAAAACATGTTTCTGAGAAAATCGAAATTTGAATCCAAAAAGGTGACAAAAATTAGTTTAAAGGTACTTTCAAGTTGAAAAACAGCGAAATTTGAAAGAGAGGCTATTTTTTGGCTGGCTATTACTTTCACCAGCGCGGGTTTTAAAGCGGAGGGGCACAATCGTCAATTTCTAAAAAAAAAAGTTCATTATATCTAGAAATTTCTTTAAAAAAAAAAAGCTCTTTACAAAAAAAGTGAAGAACACGTGCCTCCTGGCCCTTCCTCCCACTCCCTTCCATCACCTGGTGTTGTCGGCTCCGCATGGACAGCGTTTTCTACAGGTATATAAACAAAGCAAACAGCACACTGATGCAGACCTGTGTTATTTAGGAAAAGTCACAATAAAACGAAAAACTGATGCACATAAGAAATAGCAGTTTGATGAATGACGTTACTTAAAGAAAGTCCTAAGAAGAGTTTCATGTTTTTGTGCAAGGTCTAACTCTTATAGGTGATTTTAAAAAATAAGAGACTTTACTAGTGAAAACCTGTTTGGGGCCAAGGAGTTCCTTATAAAATTGATCTATTCTAAACACTTTGACTATTACTCTAAATACTTTGACCATTATTAAACATTTAGAAAATTGAAGAAATTTGGGCAAAGGAAATGTTTCATACATTTCATCATCAATTTACGCAAAAATTGTCTTGTGAAGTAAAAACACTTTAGGATAAATGTGAAGGTTTAGCTCTTGGTATGCGATTGATTCAATTTCTTTTGGAATATCTAACATCAGTTTGTTATGATTTTCTTGACATTCAGGAAAGTTCTGGAAATTTTTCAAGCATTATTCTTAAGTAGTGCAAGCATGAAACTACAAGAAAGAAGATGCGCAGGAGTCAGTGAGAATAGAGAGAATCTGCGAAAAGATTTTTTTTTGGAGTTTTATACCCAAAAATGCTGAATCTTCTTTAATTTCATTTTTTTAGGTATTAAAGTATAGAAAAAATAAATATATATAATAATTATTATACCAGAATTTGTATTAAAGTTTGCATCAATACTATATTAATGTATGAATATTATATTAATGTATTTTTATCAATCTGATACGTAATAATTTTGTATATATATTTTCTTTTTTTCACGATGATAAATGTGTATTTTATATGGTATACCTGGAGAGGAAAAATTATTAAATAAATAAAAACAGAGAATGAAGTTGTTCTAAGTGACAGTGGCAACTTTATATTAAAGAACAGATGAAATTGCGCTTAAAAGTAGGTTTTTCTTAAAAATATTTAAAAAACCCTGATATTTTATTTTAAAAAACAATTACTTTTTATCTCATCAATGTTTCAATGAATTTTTACACTTAAAATAAAACATTTTAAAAAATGCGTCATTTTTTTTTTTTTTAACTTTCCAAGAAAATTTTCCTTGCAGAAGAGATTACATCATCATGTTTGCCAAGAAAATTTTTCATATAAAAGAGATTACTATATCATCATATAGAAGAGATTACATCATCATATAGAAGAGATTACATTCCCCAGATAGCATGAAAACGTTGGCCCGACGTCGGACCAACGTGTTTTGTATCGGCTATAAAAATTACGTCGGCATAACGTAGGAAATGCAATGTTTTAAATGTGCGTTGTGGTTTTTTGCTCTAGCTTACTCATTAATTGAGAAAACAAAGAGCAGAAAACCACAATGCATATTTAAAACATAGTATCCAAAAGAAAAGTAAATATTTTATGTTTCTTCTAGCTTAACGGTACCTTTTATTTTTCCTTTTTTTATATATATGATTTAGATTGTTATTATATTCTACTTTTTTAAAAATGGATGATAATCTTTTATTAAATTTGAATACTGAGAGTGATGATGACTATTTCAATAAAAAACTTTGAAAGTGAGTATTATTCAATCCGTGAAGCTACTCATTTTTTGTGTCAAAAAAATAAAATAAATAGTTTTTCAATTTTAAATTTAAACATTCGAAGTATCAATAAAAATTTTGATAATCTAAAATTATTATTGCATGTTCTAAATCATGATTTTCAAATAATTACTCTCACGGAAACGTGGTTGAAAAGCAATGAAAAAAACTATAATTATGAGCTAAGTAATTACGTGTCAGTCCACCAACCGCGTCAAAACCACGTTGTCGGTGGTGGTTTAAGTATCTTTGTTCACAAATCTATTAACTTTGAATTGCGTAACGACCTCAGCGTTAACGAAACAGATTGTGAGTCGTTATGCATTGAAATAAATAATAAAGCGACTAAAAATATAATTATTAGTTCTATTTATAGAAAGCCATCTGGTAATTTAAAAAAGTTTCATACCTATCTAAAAACATTTTTAAGCAAAATTAACATTACAAAGAAACACGTGTACTTAACTGGGGATTATAATTTAAACTTGTTAAATTATGCTTCTAATCTAAATGTTCAATGCTTTTTAGATACACTTATACAATACGATATCATTCCCACTATAAATAAGTCGACGAGAATAACTAAGACTTCGTCGACCTTACTAGATAACATATTTACTAATAATTTTCACAATTGCCCTTTAGAATCGGGTATAATTAAAACTGACATAACAGATCATTACCCAATATTCTTAACTACAGATAATATAACCCTTAATCATTCTGTCTCTAAATCAACAATATCAATGCGACAAATCAATAAAAACTCCATAATATATTTTCGAAATCTTTTATCTGAAAAAACTAATTGGGATCTTATATTACAATCGCAAGATGTGAATAATGCGTATGAATTATTTTTGGCGCAGTATTTTAAATACTATGATTTGGCATTTCCAGTTATAAAAAAAATTATAAATCCTAAATCACTTTTAAACCCTTGGATGACCAAAGGTTTACTCAAATCATCAAAGAGGAAACAAAACCTTTATTAAAAATATTTAAAACATAAAACATATAAAAATGAAACAAAATATAAAAATTATAAAAACTTGTTTGAAAAAATAAAGAAACAATCTAAAAAAAATTATTATGCAAAATTGCTAGAAAAAACACATCGAAACACACAAAAGACGTGGAATGTAATTAAGCAGATAATCGGTACAAATAAATGTCAAAATAATAAATTGCCAGAAAAACTTTTAGTTGACGGGGATATAATTTATAATAAAGAAGTCATAATTAACAAGCTCAACAAATTTTTTCTTGATATTGGACCAAAATTAGCTGATAAAATTCCAAAAACCAACTCAAACAACTTCGAATCTTATATAAATACACCCAACACATCTATGATAGAATCTAATTTAAACTTAAGTGAGATGCGCAATGCTTTCAACTGTCTAAAAAATAATAAATGTGCGGGCATTGATAAAATTAGCGTAAATGTAGTTAAAGCTGTGTTTGATATTATTGAACTATCACTGTTTCACATTTTTAATCTTTCTTTAAAATCCGGTATTGTACCGGAGAAATTAAAAATTGCTAAGATTATACCTATTTTTAAAAATGGCGATGATACAAATATGTCCAATTATAGACCTATTTCTGTCTTACCATGTTTCTCTAAATTGTTAGAACGAATTATGTATGATAGACTTAACAACTATTTAACTGAGAACAATATTCTGTATAATAAACAATTTGGGTTTAAAAAAAATCATTCAACGGACCATGCAGTAGTCGATCTAATAAATTATGTATCCAATGGGTTCAATAATGATTGCTATACATTAGGAGTTTTTATTGATTTGTCAAAAGCATTTGACACTGTTAATCATGATATTCTAATAAAAAAACTAGAAATGTATGGAGTATTAAACAATAACTTACAATGGTTTAAAAGTTACCTTTCAAACAGGAAACAATACATAATATATACAGAAAATGAAGAAAAAAAACATATCATAACTTGTGGTGTTCCCCAGGGATCAATCTTAGGGCCCTTATTATTCATACTGTTCATTAATGATTTGTATTTAGCATCCAAAATTCTAAACGTTATTTTGTTTGCTGATGACTCAAATCTTTTTTACTCTAACAGAAATATTAAAGATCTGTTTAGAATTTTTAATGAAGAGTTATTAAAAATAAATGAATGGATTACGAATAATAAACTTTCGTTAAATGTTGGGAAAACTAAATTTATGTTGTTCCACAAACCTAGTAAAGGTGATAACCTTTTTTTAAAACTACCTGATCTCTTTATGAACAAAAAAGTTATTAAAAGAGAGTCAACTATTAACTTTCTAGGAGTGATATTAGATGAAAATATATCATGGAAATATCATATTAGATCTATTGAAAATAAAATCTCCAAAAATATTTCAATGCTATATAAAGTTAAACCTTTTCTTAATACGGAATCTTTAAAAATTATATATTTCTCATTTATTCATAGTTATCTTTCCTATTGTAATCTTGCATGGGCAAGTACCAATTATGGGAAGCTCAAAAAAATTTATAGCAAACAAAAACATGCTTGTAGGATTATTTTTGGCGTTAACAGAACTGTTGATGGTGAATCTCTTTTAAAGAAACTTAATGTGCTTAATATTTACAAACTTAATATATACCAAGTTATGCTATTTACGTTTAAAACAAAACATGCGTTATCTCCTAATATATTTCAGTCTTACTTTACCGAAATATCTCATAAATATCCCACTAAATTTTTATCTGATAATTTTGTTATTCCAAGATCTTATTTAAAACTCAATTCATTTCAAATTCAATACCGGGGACCATTTATATGGAAAGGTTTTTTAAAAAATATAATTAAAAATAAAATTCTTCGAGGCATCTCCTTAGAACAATTCAAAAGAGAATCTAAACGTTTTCTATT